AATGATGATAGGAACATTAAAAACAGGGAATCAGAGTAAGAACTGATGACTGGTTATTTTGATACTTCCTGCCTATATCTCCATGCTACAATATGCCTATCATCACATTTGGAAAAATAGAATCCTGGTGTAAGCATCAGGCTTTTTTTCTGGATACTGGCTAGTCATCACAAGACTTAGCTTTGACTCGTGTTCATACACTGTTTCAGGCTGTTTAGCCTCTGTCTATTTACAGATGCAGTATTCTTTCCATATGTAATCAACCAGGTTCTTCCTTTCCTTTCTGTTGGCATGACTATTCTGTCACATTTGAATGACTTGAGTCATTCGTTGCAATGCAAGCTAAATTTTAGTTTGGGAAGTGTTTTATTTATGACTGTATTTTCTTCTATAGAAATGAAGGATTTCCATCAACAGAGTTAGAATTTTCTATTGATACACATTTTCACAAAGAACAAAAACTAATTTAAAAAAAGGTATTGGAAATAACTCTTGATTTTTATACATTCTTATACTTACTCAATACATCTTAACTAATTTATCAGTACTTCTTTGATGTGATATGTGGTCCTGATTTAAATGTATTTGCTCAGTCAGTTGTATCCAACCCTTTCCCATGAACTGTAGCCCACCAAGCTCCTCTGTCCCTGGAATTTTCCAGGCAAAAATACCATAGTGGGTTACCATTTCCTACTTCAGGGTATCTTTCCATCCCAGAGATTGAAGCCACATCTCTTACATCTCCTGTGCTGGCAGGCAGATTCTTTACCACTGTGCCACCTGGGAAGCCCAATCCTTATTTAATTCATAACTTATCCTCCCTGATAATTTGTTTGCTTCTTTTTATATCCATTGCCTTTATATCATTTATTTTTTTAAGTCCATTTTTAGACCCTTGGGAAACCAATACCTATTATCAGTTTACTAGCCAGCACTAATCTCAGTCTCCCTATAATGTTTTGAATTGGTATTTTAGAAATGGAAGTTTCACTAAGTTTTCTCTTCCATTGATTAAATAATGTTCAGCAGATCCAGCAAGGATTCCCATATTCCTCACTGTTTATGTGTGTTGTATACAAAAATGCCTGCTTCTGCCAATCCTATCTCTTTAGGCCTTGTGTCAGGTGTGTATCTATGACAAGATAGATTCCCCACCTACATAATGAAGTTTCTGTGTTATCTAATGTAAAACTTTGTTAATGTCATTATTTTTTATTCTAAAGAAAGTATGTCTTTTAGTGGATGTCTACTCTGCTGTTTGTCCAGATCAACAACCTCCTTCTTTTGGTGAATGTATCTTTCTCTTGGAGTAACCACATGATATGATTAGAAGATGACATGTAGATCACCTCTCTGACCACTGCTGTCTGGTCAAAGGTTGAGCTTCTGACCTAAGTCATAATGACATATCTACAGTTCACAGTTGAATGGTGCAAGTATGAGTCTCTGACCATGATGGGCCAAATCTGAGCTTTTCCTTGAGATGTTAGATGAGAATAGAGAGAAAGCAAGCCCCAGTACCTGTTGGAGTATGTTGTGCAGAAACTGCTGTCAATCATATTTCCTGCTGTCAGAAATTGAATCTGGGATACTTTCTTAAAGATACCTGAGAGAAGAAGATGTAAGATTTAAAGACAGGAGCTTACCGGTATTCAAATTCCTGGTTTCATGTGTCGAAGGCATTTAGCTTCGTTCTCAGCCTGCATTCATCTTGGTCACCAGCTGAGCCAATAAATGCCCGATATGTCTGCCCCTTCCCTGTATGTGTTTAGTTTGTGGTTCTACCATCTAAGAGGATATTGACAGGCACTTCCCTGGTGGTCCAGTGGTTAAGAATCCACCTGCCAACGCAGGGGTTGATCCCTGGCCCGATAAGATCCCGCATCCCACAGAGTAACTAAGCTTATGGGCCACAGCTGCTGAAGCCCACATCCTCTAGAGACCATGCTGCTCAACAAGAGAAGCCACCGCAATGAGAAGCCTGTGCTCCACAATTAGAGAGTAGTTCCCATTCACTGCAAGTAGAGAAACCCTATGCATTGCAATGAAGACTCCACAGAGTCAAAATTTTTTTATTTTTTAAAAAAGGATATTGACAATTACAGCTCTAAGAACCCTGTATATTCAGTTAATTCTGATGTGAAATCCTTCATTGTTTTACTTCCTTAAGAAAATATTATTTTTTCTTCTTATAAAAAAGAAAATATGTTTATCATGTAAGATTTATTTGCAAATTAGAGATTAAAAATTAAAAATCAACATATGGAGATAATTAGTAGTAATATCTCAGTATATCACTTTCTAATGTTGTTCTTTCCCAGTGAGTCTGCTCTTAACATCAAGTGGCCAAAGTATTGGAGCTTCAGCCTCAGCATCAGTCCTTCCAATGAATACTCAGGGTTGATTTCCTTTAGGATTGACTGGTTTAATCTCCTCGCTGTCCTAGGGACTCAAGAGTCTTCTCCAGCACCACAATTCAAAAATACCAATTCTTGGGCATTCAGCCTTCTTTATGGTCCAACTCTTGTATCTGTACATGACTACTTGCAAAACCACAGATCTGACTATGTGGACCTTTGTCATCAAGAAAATATGTTCAAATTTTTTGATTGTCAGACAACGAAAATTAGAGTAACAGTGAACTATAAATTTTCACTGACTACACTGGCAACAGTTTAAAAAGTTTTAACATTTATTCTTGTGGAAATATGTCTATTGTAGCCTTTTGGAAACAGTATCAGAAAAAACTACCCAAATTAAAAATATATATGTACTTTGACCCAGTAATCTCATTTTAAGCACTGATGCCATGAAAGAAAAAATTAATACAAAAGGATGTGTGTGTAAAGATATTTGTAGCATTGTTTGTAGGGCTCCCAAAACTAGAAACTAGGTAAATGCTTATTAACAGGGAAATTAGTAAATAAATAATGGCCTATCTACACTGTGAATCAGGCAGCTATTGCACAGAATAAATTAGAGAACCTCCCCAGACAACTTCTGTACCTTTTGTACATGTTTTCATTCTGTGGCGTATTTCACTAGAGAAATTTGGAAGTACAAATCTCTCTATATCCTGAGTAACCTCTCTTTAAATCCAAAGGTGCTTTTGTCTACCTTTTCCTTTCTTGCTTAGACACTAAAGCCCAAACTAAATTTGAGGTACATGATTAAATGATACCAAAGATTTATGCAGGGAACATTTCTGATTCTGGCTCTTTGTTATACTTGTACTGTGTAAGCTCTAAGTAACTCTAAAATGGCAAAATGGTCTTTAGTTTCTGACATTTTTGCAAGGACTTTCTTTCCAACTTACTAATTATGTCTGTCTCCCTCTTATACTCTTCAGTTAATCTCAGGGTCAGCCTTGTGCATGAAGTTGATGGATGGAGGAAATCGCTCAGTGGTGTCTGAATTTTTGCTGCAGGGACTCACCAGTTCTTGGGAGATCCAGATTCTTCTTTTTCTCTTTTTCACAGTATTTTATATAGCGAGTATGTTGGGAAACCTTCTCATTGTGCTCACAATTCTGTCAGACCACCATTCACATTCCCCCATGTACTTTTTGTTGGCAAATCTCTCCTTCATTGACACAGGTGTTTCCAGCATTGCAACCCCAAAGATGATTTCTGACCTTTTCAGAAGACACAAAGTCATCTCATTGAGAGGCTGCATCACTCAGATGTTCTTTATTCACACTGTTGGGGGTGCAGAGATGGTGCTGCTCATAGTCATGGCCTATGACCGGTACATTGCTATCTGCAAGCCCCTCCACTACCTGACCATCATGAGTCTAAGAGTGTGCACTTCTCTTCTGGCTGTTGCTTGGACCATTGGACTCATCCACTCTGTGGCCCAGCTGGCTTTTGTTGTCAACTTACCCTTTTGTGGCCCCAATGAAATGGATAGCTTTTACTGTGATTTTCCTCCGTTCATCAAACTTGCATGTACAGACACGTATAGATTGGAATTTCTGGTCACTGCCAACAGTGGTTTCATCTCCATGGGCACCTTCTTGATCCTGATTGTGTCTTACATCTTCATCCTGGTCACGGTTCACAAACACTCTTCAGGTGGTTCATCCAAGGCCCTTTCTACCCTCTCAGCTCACATCACTGTGGTAGTTTCTTTCTTTGGCCCTTGCATTATTGTCTATGTGTGGCCATTCCCTACCTTCAGTTCAGTTCAGTTCAATCGCTCAGTCGTGTCTGACTCTTTGCGACCCCATGAATCGCAGCACGCCAGGCCTCCCTGTCCATCACCAGCTCCCGGAGTTTACTCAAACTCATGCCCATCGAGTCGGTGATGCCACCCAGCCATCTCATTCTCTGTCATCCTCTTCTCCTCCTGCCCCCAATCCCTCCCAGCATCAAGGTCTTTTCCAATGAGTCAACTCTTCACATGAGGTGGCCAAAGTACTGGAGTTTGTGCTTCAGCATCAGTCCTTCGAATGAACACCCAGGACTGATCTCCTTCAGGATGGACTGGTTCATTCTCCTTGCAGTCCAAGGAACTCTCAAGAGTCTTCTCCATTCTCTATTCTTTGGAACTCTGCATTCAAATGGGAATATCTTTCCTTTTCTCCTTTGCTTTTTCCTTCTCTTCTTTTCACAGCTATTTGTAAAGCCTCCTCAGACAACCATTTTGTCTTTTTGCATTTCTTTTCCATGGGCATGGTCTTGATCCCTGTCTCCTGTACAATGTTACGAACCTCCGTCCATAGTTCATCAGGCTCTCTGTCAATCAGATTCCCTTAAATCTATTTCTCACTTCCACTGTATAGTCATAAGGGATTTTATTTAGGTCATACCTGAATGGTCTAGTGGTTTTCCCTACTTTCTTTAGTTTAAGTTTGAATTTGGCAATAAGGAGTGTATAGAGCTTCTCCATCAATCTGATTTCAGTGTTGACCATCTGGTGATGTCCATGTTTTAGCCATCTTTGATGTTTTAGTTACTCCTTTTATGAATCCTATTATCTATACATTTAGAAACAAGGAGATAAAGATGGCAATGAGGAGACTCTTTGGTAAGGTTTTAAGTTTCAGGAAGAGTTCTCATGCACAATTCAAGAAATTCAGATTGATCTTGACAATTCTTGGAAATTAACCTCTTTAATTACCCTTTTCATATATGTTTTCAGTTTCCTTAATGATCTTAAATATTCACTGTGAAATCTCTCCTCAAGAATTCTGTTCCTAGCTAGTCATTTTTTCCATAGGGACCCTAGCTCTAGGAAATGGAAAGTACTAGACAGGAATGAATTCAACACTGGAATATAATGTTATTAAAAACTTACAGATGTTGGTAAAGGCTGAAATCTCACATACTGGGCACGTTACTCGTTAAAACAAGATGTTGGATACTCTTCTCTTTGACAGAAATTCTCAAAGATGTTTCTCTTCTAATATACATATGTACCAATATTCAAGCCCTTTGTGTTTCTCAGTGTCTATATACCTAAAGGAAAAAAGATGAAACAAAGGCTATTGTCTAGGTAGCTTTGAGATTTTGAGGCTTCTAATGTCTGGATTTAGCCATCCACACTCAAGATTTAATTAATTACAAGGTTTTTAAATTTAGTTAGGATTGGAAGGTGATATTTGGCTAACTCAAAGAGTGACAACTCAGAAGATATTAATATTTTTTGATATTAACATTTTTAGTTAATCAAATGTTTTGACACCAGGTGTTGTAAATTCCTATATGCCTCAGTGTGTGTGATTGTTTCCTAAACTTAGTCACTATTTTTATATGGCAAAGATAACTATGTGAAACTAAATGATTTTAAATGGGTTGAATATTTTGTAGATAAAAGAGGTAATACTGAATGAAAATGCAAAAGATTGATATATTATGAGAACCAGGGTAATAACTAAATAAAACAAAGTATCAGTTGAGTTCAGTTCAGTTCAGTTGCTCAGTCGTGTCCAACTCTTTGAGACCCCATGGACTGCCGCACACCAGGTTCCCCGTCCATCACCAACTTCCAGAGCTTACTCAAACTCATGTCCATTGAGTCAGTGATGCCATCCAACTATCTCATCCTCTGTTGTCCCGTTCTCCTCCCGCCTTCAACCTTTCCCAGTATCAGGGTCTTTTCCAATGAGTCAGTTCTTTGCAGCAGGTGGACAAAGTACTAAAGTGTCAGCTTCAGCATCAGTCCTTCCAATGAATATTCAGGACTGATTTCCTTTAGGATTGACTGGTTGGATCTCCTTGCAGTCCAAGGGACTCTTAAGTGTCTATTCCAACACCACAGTTCAAAAGCGCCAATTCTTTGGCACTCAGCTTTCTTTATAGTTTTTATTATTTATTTATTTAATTAGAGTATAACTGATTTATGATGTTGTATTAGTTTCAGGTATATAGCCTAGTTATTTTTTTCCGGTTATAGTCCATTATAAATTATTGTAAGACATTGGGTATAATTCCCTGTGCTATACAGTAAATCCTTATTGCTTATCTATTTTGTGTATAGTAGTTTTTGTATCTCTTAACCCCATAATCTTAATTTGGTCTTCCCCTCCCCCTTGGTAACCATAAATTTGTTTTCTACATCTATAAGTATGTTTATGTTTACAGATTCCTTTGTATTATTTTCATATCACATGTAAGTGATAGCATGTTGTATTTATCTTTTGCTGACATTTCAAAAGCATATATTCTCTAAGTCTATCCATGTTGCTTCAAATGGCAATATTTCATTCTTTTTATGGCTGAGTAATACTCCACTGCATATAAATATGTCACATCTTCCTAAGTCAATCATCTATTCTTGGGCACTTTGGGCTGCTTCATCATTGGCTATTGTAAATAAGGCTGCTATGAACATTGGGATATGTGTATCTTTTTTAGAACACAGTTCCATATATAGTTATTTTTTAAGTAGATTAATTAAGATTTTAGTTGGAGTTCCAATAACAAACTCTCAAAAATTAATAGAATGAATATACAGAGGAGTAGAAGGATATAGTAGACTTGAAGAGCATCACGAATCATTCAAAAGAATTAAGATTTATACAGTTTTCACACAACAGTAGCATACAAATTCTATTCAAGTTCCCATAGACTATAAACTAGGAGACTCTGGAACATATACAGGGACATAAAACAAAGTGCAAAAATTTCATAGTCTAAAGGTATTGAAATCGTACAAAATCTGTTCTCTTATCACTGTGGAATTATGTTAGAAATATCAAAAGATATTTTAAAATAACACATATATTTTCAAGTGCAATGTGACATTTACCAAGAGATCTTTGACTTAGCCATTGAAAGCCTCAGTAAAGTTAGAAGACTGAAAAAACACAGAGAGTGTTTTCAGAGAGGAAAGCATTTAAATGAGAAAATAATATTGAAATGAGAAATTATTATCAAAGATGTTTTGACAAATCTCATGTATTTGGAATTTAAATGTCTTCTTTAAATGATGGGTGTATCTAAGAAAGCCATAACGAGGAAAATTAGAAAATGTATGTAATAGAATAAAAATTAAAAGAGAATTTACCAGAATTTGTTGCAAGCACCTGAAGCTGCACAATGCAATTAAGTACAATGTGGAGTCTTGAATAAAGTACGAAAACAAATAATAAACACTAGCATAAAATTTTGTTAAATTTAAATAAAATCTATACTTTAGTTAACAATTCTGCTTCCCTTGTGGCTCAACTGGTAAAGAATCTGCCTGCAATGTAGGAGGCCTGGGTTCGATCCCTGGGTTGGGAAGATCCCCTGGAGAAGGGAAAGGCTACCCACTCCAGTATTCTGGCCTGGAGAAGTCCATGACTATACAGTGCATGGGGTCACAGAGCTGGACACGACTGAGCGACTTTCACTTCACTTCACTTCACTTCATGGGAGGCATGTATCTTTTTGAATTAAGAGTTTTCATTTTTTCTGGATATATACTCAGGAGTGCAATTGCTGGATCATCCAGTAGTTTCATTTTTAGTTTTTTAAGGAACTACAGAGTCTTCTTGTGGCTATAGTAATTTATATTCCCACCAACAGTGTAGGAGCTTTCCCTTTTCTCCACACCCTCTCTAGCATTTAATGTTTGTAGATATTTTTATGGGAGCCATTCTGACTGGTGTGAGATGATACCTCATTGTAGTTTTGATTTGCATTTCTCTAATGATTATTGACATAAGAGTATCATTTCATATGCTTTTTAGCCACCTGCATGTCTTCTTCAGAGAAAAGTCTATTTAGATCTTCTGCCCATTATTTGATTGGGTTGTTTGCTTTTTGATACTGAGCTGCATGAGTTGTTTGTATATTTCAGAGATGAATCCCTTGTTGCTTCTTTTGCAAATATTTTCTCCCATTCTGAAGGTTGTCTTCTTTCTTTTGGTTGTCTTTGTTTCCTTTGCTGTGTAAAAGCTTTTAAATTTAATTAGGTCCTATTTGTTTATTTTTGTTTTTATTTTCATTACCCAAGGAGGTGGATAAAAAACATCTTGCTGCAGTTTATGTCAGAGTGTTCTGCCTATGTTTTCCCCTAAGAGTTTTATACTATTTGCCCTTATACTTAAGTCTTTTTTTTTTTTTATACTTAGGTCTTTAATCCATTTTGAGTTGATCTTTGTGTAGGGTGTTAGGGAGTGTTTTCATTTCACTGGTTTACATGGAGCTGTCCAGTTTTCCCAGAACCACTTATTGAAGAGACTGTTTTCTCTCCATTCTATATTCTTGCTTTTGTTGTCATAGATTAGATGACCATAGGTGCATGGGTTTATCTCTACGTTTTCTATTCTATTCCACTGATCTATATTTCTGTTTCTATGTCAGTACTATACTGTTTTGATTACCATAGCTTTATAGTGTAATCTGAAGTCAGGGACAACCTGATTCCTCCAGCTCTATTTTTCTTTCTCAAAATTGCTTCAGCCCTTCATGGTTTTTTGTGTTTCCATACAAATTGTACAATTTTTTGTTCCAATTCTGTGAACAGTGCCATTAGTAATTTGATAGAGATTGTATTGAATCTGTAGATTGCTTTGGACAGTATAGTCATTTTCACAATATTGATTCTTCCAATCCAAGAACATGGTATATTTCTCCCTCTGTTTGTGCCATCTTTGATTTCTTTTATCAGTATCTTACAGTTTTCTGAGTATAGGTTTTTGCCTCCTTAGGTGGGCTTATTCCCAAGTATTTTTTTCTTTTTGATGCAGTGGTAAATGGGATTATTTCCTTGATTTCTTTTTCTGATCTTTTGTTTTCAGTGCATAGGAATGGAAGGGATTTCTGTGCATTAATTTTGTATGCTATAACTTTACCAAATTCATTGATGAGTCCTAGCAGTTTTCTGGTAGCATCTTCAGGATTTTCTATGTATAGTATCATGTCATTTACAAACAGTAACAGTTTTACTTCTTTTCCAGTTTGGATTCCTTTTGTTTCCTTTTCTTCTGTGATTGCTGGGCTAGGACTTTCAAAACAAAGTTGAATAATAATTGCAAGAGTGACATCTTTTTCTTGTTTCTTGTCTTAGAAGAAATGCTTTCAGTTTTTCACCATTGAGATTGATGTTTGCTGTGGGTTTGTTATATGTGGACCTTAATATGCTGAGGTGGTCCCCTCTATGCCTACTTTCTGGAGACTGTTTTTAAATCGTAAATGGGTATTGAATATTGTCAAAAGCTTCTTCTGTATCTCTTGAGATAATCATGCATTTATATTTTTCAATGTGTTGATGTGGTGTATCACTTTGATTGATTTGTGGATCAACCAGGAAGAAATAGAAAATATGAACAGACCAATCACAAGAATGGAAATTGAGACTGTGATTAAAAATCTTCCAACAATCAAAAGTCCAGGACCAGACTGCTTCACAGGCAAATTCTATCAAAAATTTAGAGAAGAGGTAACATGCACGCTTCTGAAAGTCTTCCAAAACATTGCAGAGGAAGGGACACTCCCAAGCTCATTTTATGAGGCCACCATTACGCTGATACCAAAGCCAGACAAAGATAACACAAGGAAAGGAAATTACTGGCCAATATCACTGATGAACATAGATGCAACAGTCCTGCCATATCATTTTGAGCTTTTAAATCTCTATGGCTTTTGTGTGCATGTGTGTGTGTGTAAAGATCAATCCT